CCGACTGGTTTGCCCCGCGCCGCGCCCCCCCGCCCGGCCCGCCGGCGCCGGTTCCCTCCCGGGTGCCGGCTTAGAGTCAGCCTCTTCCCACGGTGCTAGAAGCCGCCTCAAGGCGGCAGCCACACTGGTCACACTCCGCCTGACCCTAACCTCAAATTTAGAGTCAACTAGGTTCTGATCACGGAGTTGCGAGAATGAGGAGGCGCTGAATCAGATGAATCTTTTGGGGTGGAAGGAGGAACAAGATGTGGGTTCCCCCATTACTGAGACCCTGCCCAGGCACATGGCCCGGCCCTCCCCTCCCCTCCCCTCCCCTCCCCGGGGGCTGGCAGGGAGGGCCTCTCCCTCTCCTGGGGGAAGGCCTTGGCCTGGGAAACTGCCCCTGCCTGCTGAGTCAGGGCCTGGATGCTGTAAAGATGGGGGCAAGCCCGGGTGCCCTGTCCATCTGTTCATTCATTCACAATGTTTCTGGGCACCGCCTGTGTGCCAAGACCTGTGCGCCTCTTTGGGTGGGGCCTGTCCAGGTGTCTGCCCTCTGCTGACTCATGTCAGCAGCAAGCCCAGAAATGATGGTAAAACTAAAACTTGACAAGTGTATGGGTCCCTGAGAACATGGCTGCACCCTGCACTCCTGTGCTTAGCTGCCCAAGCCAGCTACACAGCTGCCATGCACGGGAACGTCCTGAGCCCAGGACCCTGTGGGAGGTGGGGAGAGGAATCCTGGGTGTTGGCTGCCCGGCCTCCAGGCTTCTTGTCAATGAGTCACTCCCAGTGAACACAGCTGGACAGGGCCAAGCCTCAGCTCCACGCATGGCCGCAGAGCCTCAGTTCAGTCTACAAGGAAGGGCAGGCAGTCACCCAGGGGCCTCCCTACCACACAGGGTGTCGAAGGCATGTCCAGTGTGTACACCCTGGTTTGGTGTGGCATGTGCCAGCCCAGGGCAAGGGTGAGGTCAGGGCTGTCCCAGGATAGCCCCGCCCCTGGCTGTCAGTCTTGGGCTCCCTGGTGAGCATGTCCTCTTTCTAATCTAGGCAGAATTTGTTCTGCTCCCCAGGGCGTGGGCATTGGACTCAGAGGAAAAGGTGTTTGTTCATCTTTGAGCTAGGTGGAATCCCCAAGACAGCTTTTGGTGCTTCCTTCTGCCTTTATGGGGTCAGAAGCCCCTAGCTGGGAAAGTGGCTCCTTTTTCAGTGGATGGGAAATGGGCTGAGCAGGGGGAGGAGCCTTTGGCTTTGCAACTGACCACTCTGACCAGGCCCCCCTGCTCCACAGCCACTGCCCACTTTAGTTTCTGCCGGACCCTCCTGGAGCACACAATGTCAGCTGAGAGCATCCCCTGCCACCTGCCTAGGACACCAGGCACCAGCCTCACGTGGCATGATTCACGCAGTCAGAGGGCAGCTGGTGGCCGGCCGGTCAAGCTCCTGCAGCAGCCGGGCACAGAGGCCCCCCAGGTACCTAGCCAACATACCAGCCTCAGCCCCTGCGCTCCCCACCACTTCACTGCATCTGCTGCACTTTCCCCCACAGGGCCGGCTATACTCTGACCACTGTGGCCTGTATCACACAAGTCCCTCCCTGGGTGGTCTGACAAGGCCTGTGGTCCTGTGGAGTCAGCAGGACGTCTGCAAGTGGCTCAAGAAGCACTGTCCCCACAACTACCTCGTCTACGTGGAAGCCTTCTCCCAGCATGCCATCACCGGTGCTGTTGGGGCTGGGGGGGCACGGGGGTCCAGAGAGCCTCTGCTTTCTCTTGCTACCTTCTTTCTGTTTCCTCCTGACTCAGCCTCTCCGTCAGGTCTGTCTCTGCAGAATCTCTCGTCTCTCCCAGTCTCTCCTGTTTATTTTCATCTGGCTTTTCTCTGCTCAGTCCCTATCTAACTTGTCTCTCCCTCTCTCTCTGAATTGATCTGTGTCTGTCTCCCCCCCTTCTCTCTCTCTCTGTCTCTCCTCCCTGTCTTTGAGTCTGTGACCCCCTCCCCACTTCTTTCTCTCTGCTTTGGCTCCTGATGTCCATTGGATGTTGACCTCGGCTCAACCCCTTTCCCCTCCCTCCAGGTAGGGCACTGCTTCGGCTGAACGCGGAGAAGCTGCAGCGGATGGGGCTGGCACAGGAGGCCCAACGGCAGGAGGTGCTGCAGCAGGTGCTGCGCCTGCAGGTGCGGGAGGAGGGGCGGAGCCTGCAGCTGCTCAGCCAAGGTCAGTGGGAGGATCCAGGAATGCCTGAGAGGCTTGGAGCCATCTAGGGGGCTGGGCTGCAAGCCTCCCCCTCTTGAGTTCAGGGAGGGTGGGTGGACCTCAGGAGGGCGGCTGTGGGACCCCAGTAAGGGCTGTTCTACACCCACGGTGGTGTGGACAATGCCAGAGGCCCCCATTCCTCCTCACCGATCCACCCATAGCTTCCTTTGGACACATGTCCTAGTGCTGCCCGAGGCTTGAACCCCAGACCCCAGCACTGTGACCGGAGCCCATGGCAAAGACGAGGCACAGCCCCTCTCGGACCTTCAGGAGCCCCCAGGGGCCTACCCTGGCCCAATGTACAGGTGGGACCAGGATTGCCACCTCCAGCCACCTCTGGTTGTGCACTCTGGGCTATGCCTGGGATGGGGTGGGTGGGGGCTTCCTGAGTATGGGCCCATCTCCCAGAACCTGAGCCCAGGCCCACCCCCTGGTGCTGCTAGCGACATTAGGGGCAGCCACCTGGATCCGGGGGTTTGAATGTTCCCCCAGACTCCCAGGGAGTGTTTATTTATATTCCCTTCACCCATGTCCTCTGGACATCCTGTCCTCTCCCAGGGCAAGAGGTCTGTCTGTCTGCCCACTCATCCAGTTCCACACCCTCCCCCAACACCTAGAAGACTACCCACAGAGGTGGGATAAACTGCCAGACTCCCTTTGCTGTGTATCTGTCCCCTGCCCCAGCCCAGGCCCAACCCACCGCCCAGATGATGGTCATTGGCGTCCACCCAGCCAGGCACCCTGCCCAGGGCCTTCACTCATTTTTTATGAGACCCTTACCATGCCCACATCTATTTATGGGAATTGAGGAGAGGCAGGTCCAGGATTGCCCAGCACCCAAGACCTAATGCAGCATGATAGAGACCCAGCGCCTAGCACTGGGCTGGGCCCAGTCCTGGCCTTGGGTTTGGGAAAGCTTCCCTCCTCCCAGGCTCAAGGAGGACACCCTGGAGGCACAGTAATGGGCGGGCATTCCCACTGCCCTTTCCCCAGGAAAACCCGGATTCTCACAAGAGATGGTCCTGAGGACTGCGCCCCCCCATGCCTGCCCACTGGAGACCCAGCCAGCACCTGACAACCACTCCATGGGCCAGAGGGCCCGAGGTTGGGGCTGGTGCTGCCCAGCAGAGGGACAGTGAGGGCCACCCTGCAGTCTCCTCCCTCCTCGTCCCCCGCTTGCCACTGCCCTAAAGGACTCTGAAAACCTCAGGGACAGATGAGGCTGAGCCCCCAGCCACCTCTGTGCCCTGAGCTGGCTTCAGGACAGGAGGTTGGTGGTTTCAGGTCCCAGGTGGAATTTGAATAATTGGCCTGGTGTTCCCCCACCCCGAGTCCCTCAGGGGAAGCCCCCTTGTCCTGTGTGGCTGCAGTGAGTGTCCCCCGCCCGTGCCATCAGGATATCGCCCTTTCCAGAGCGCCCCTCCCATCTCTTCCCCTTTCTCCCTCCTTTGTTTTGCCCCCAACCTCCTGTCTTGTCTTCCTTGTTTTGCGTTCACTTTTTTACATTCTGAGAAAAAGACCAGAAATAAACCTGGTTTTCAAGTGCCCCAGTGTGGTGTCGGGCTCCAGCCAGCGGGCCTGCGGGCCTGCCGGGTGGGCAGAGCCCTGGGCGGCCCTGAGCCTGGGAGGAGGGGCTGCCGGGCCCCGCACCGCCCGCGGCGGCCACCAGGGGGCAGTGGTGCGTTTCCCCGGGGAACTAGGCGAAGGGCCCGGGCAGGGGCTGCGCTGCCCCGGACACGGCAACGGGGGCCCGCCGGGCTCCTGGCGCTGCAACATGACAGCTGGGAGCCTTCGCACAGCAGACACTATTCGCTCACAGCCCCGCAGGCCACCAGTCTGGAATCTGCAGAGCCGGCCTCCTTCAGGGCGCAGGGGAGCGCCCTTCCTCCCCTCTTCCAGCGCTGGTGGCTGCCCGGGGAGTCCTGGGCTCAGGGACACATCCCTGGGGCCGGCACTATGTGGTCACATCACCTTCCATCTGTCTCCACTCTCCCTCTCACAAGGACACTTGTCACTGGATGTAGGGCCCACCTGCATAATGGAGGATGATCTCATCTCAAGATCCTTAATCACATCTGCAAAGACCCTTTTTCCAAACAAGGTCCCATTCGCGGGTTCCAGGGATTTGATGTGGCTACCTTTTGGGGACCCCCATGCAGGCTGCCACAGGGCAATGCCTGGCATAAAGGCACATGGGTCCTAACACAGGCCCCGACGCAGGGAGGCGGGCAGCGGCGACCCCAGTAGGAAAGGCTCAGCCGGCCTGCAGCCGGAGCGCGCGGGCACAGCCCGCAGCAGCACCTCCGACCCGTCCGGGCGCGCGACCCCCAGCGGAGGCGCGCG